ACTTTGTAGAGAAGGCCTATGGGCACTTGTCCTTTTGGGGTTTTTCATATCTCATTAGGGTCTGTCTTATGTATAGAGTCCGAACTCAAAAGCGGTTAATCACTTCGGACGGTTCCCTCGTTAGCTTCGAAATTTCGTCGAAAATTATGTAAAAAAAGAAAGAATATATTCATAGCTAATGTCTGGACGTCATTTATGAATGAACCTTTATCAATGTTGACTTCAATGATTTATCGCTAACTTATTTAAATTAAGTAATACTCAATGAACTTGTTCATTTATGTTCATAGCTTTCGTTTGATTCTGCTCAAAAAGGAAAAACTTGAGGGAAAAATTTTTCCAAGGCCTCAGAAAAACTATTCCTTCATGAGTTTTTTTTCCAGAAAAGTATATTCTTAGCTAGAACTTTTGATATTCTTGTTATTAATCACGAATAGATCAATGGAAATGAATATATTTTTAGTGCATAGAAATAAATTGTTGACGTCAATAATTTAAAAAGTAATATTTTTTTTTTGATAGTTGTGTGGTGTTTTGTCTACCGTTCATCATCAATCTTGTTTATATATATTTTGATATAGCGAGCTTTTGTCCATCTTGAACACATAAAAAAATGTTTTACAATATCATTTGAATTGTTTTTCTGCAATATCTGATTTCAATATATTAAACTCAACACATGTCTCTACGGGATTTAATGAGAGACTATTGCATCGTTTTATTTCAATGCATTGTAGTGCACTAAAAGTTCATTCATGTTCATTAGATCCAATTGGTGAAATTGTTAAAACTTGATATAACTTAAACCATTCAGGTATTATATATTGAGTAGGATTTTGTACAGAGTAATTTTATACTATCTATTTAGACGATTTTTTGATATGTTGATGATCAAACTATACTTTTGGCATAGTTATATTATCTTCTGATTTTTAAATATGTTTTTCTTCGAAAGAAATTAAATGGTTTACTTATGAAAAAAAATTCAAAACAGAATTTCATTTTTGCATGACCAGTCTGTCCCAAAAAAAGAACCAGGAAAAAGTTTAGGCAGAGAAAATTACGCTGATGCTCTATTCGGTCTTGGTGAAAAACGTCGAAAGAAGAAAATTTGAAAAAAAATGGAAAGAGAAAATGTCGAAAGGGAAAATATCGAAATGATTAATCTGTTCTTGTAATACATGATAGATACTATGCTTTATTAATTTAAAATGAAAAAGCCGAGAGAACATTTACAGTATGATAAGATGTTATCTTTTTCTTTCCAACTAACAACGATAAACCTGATAATAGTTCATTAGCATATATTTGCCTCTTAAGATATGTTGAAAAAAGACTTCAAATTTCCAAGTCATAAATGAAACAGTGTTGGAACCTGACGTTGAGGCCATTGTGATCATTTAACTATTATACATCAGAAACAAAATTTTCTTTATGCAATGAAGAATAAAATGTACTCGTTCACGAGGGACCAATATGAATAAAAGCAGTTGAACTGTACCAATGGCACCTTTAAACGTATTCGACTTTTTCCTCTTCGATGTTTTTCTCTAACCCCCTCTATTTAGATCGTATGGTCTGTTTATATTAGCTAATAAATTATTTGAATTTATAATACATCAATTTCAAATATTTAACATGTGTCTCATAGATATATAATAACTATATCTATAATTAATCTTCTTATCATATTAAGAGTCGTTTTTTAAATGTAATTGACAAATAGTATGCATGTGCAGAACGAAAAAAGCTTCGAACAAATAAATATATCTCTTAAGTAAAGGAACATAAATTAACTCTACACAATGTAATAGCCTTACTCTTCTTAATATTATTCAATGAAAATTATTGTGAATTTTTTCAAAGTCAATACAAAATTTAGTCAGATTTTTTTTCAATAAATTTATAAATTCTCTTATTTTTTATCAGACATCATTGTCTCGTTTATCTAATGACTAATTTTGTATTAAACCAATAAGAAAATAAAAAAAAAAGATTGGTACAATAAGAATAAGTTATTAATTAACCTTCAATCCAACGAAAACTTATAGAACTCAATACCATATAAAAAACCAAGAAACGACTAGTTTTTGTGTTTCACTATTTTAATTTATGTTTATAAAATGACATTAATAAAAATTATTTTTTTCTAATCTTTTCAATTATCTTGTATATCTATAAATCCCCTTGACCAAAATAAATAGAACATCGTATTTTTTCGATTATTTTCCCTATCATTGTTGTTATATCTTATGTTTATATCACAGATACATGCTCAATCATCGAACTTATTCTGAAAGTTTCAACCCTATGGAGTAAGAATCGGCTGAGAAAATAACAAATATACCTTATGTACTTATGTGTTACTGAAACGCAATTTTTTTTAATATCTCTATTATTTTAGATCTCATTTGGAATATGGGATGGTAGTTAGGTACCTCTTAAGCATGACTGTGCATTGAGACATCTTAAGATGTCTCAATGCACAGTCATACCTAAGACGTACCTTACTATCACATTATATTCCAAATGGAATCTAAAATGACGAAGAAATAAAAAACAAAAAAAAATTCGTTTCAGTGGCACATAAGTACTTAAGGTATATTTCTTATTTTCTCCGCCGCCTCTTACTCGATAAGGTTGAAAATTTCAGAGTAAGTTAAGCGATCCAGCATGTATCTGTGATATAAATACGAAATATAACAACAATGATGAGAAAATAATTGAAAAAAACGATGTTCGATTTATTTTGTACAGGGGAATATAATAGAAATGTTTTTCTTTTTGAAGATATGTTACGAGTTAAAAAATATTGTTTTTTATAACCTTGAGTTAAAACGTGCCTGTTTGTATTAATTGAAAAAAGAAAAAAAGTGAGAGGGAAGTAATGAGGCATAACATCAACATCGATGCAGGTAACGGCAGCTCTGTTTTTTTCACTCAAGTGAATATATATGTTTACATAAAACGCCAAGGTGAGCTTTCCTATTGATAAGTCACCGTGCTGATATTCATTGTGTATTTATTCATTCACTGTATATCTGTGTATGTGTTTACACCAATCAATTACATAAAAAAGCAAGCTGATAACAAGGACAAAATATATATTTCAATATCAGTTCTGAAATGGCTGTTAGTACGAATGCGAATCCTGCAAGTGTTCTCAACACATACAATACCAATATAACTGACAGTGATAAAAAGAGAAATGAAGATGTAGAAGCAAAAAAGAATACTATTTCAATTATTGCACAAACATCTTTGAATGGTTTCTCTATAGTGAAAGACAACGCAAAAAATCTTACCAATTTTCAACGAAAAAAAGCCGAATACTTCTTCAATGTCAATCTCGGTATGTTAGTTTTTGTGAACGAAATAATAGTCATCGAAGTGTATTTTTAAAGACTGATTAGATAAAGCACTTTCGAATTTATTATTTATAATTGTATACATGTTTTATTTAAAAACAATTATTTTAGACAATGAAAACAAGAAATTTGTAACTTGGAACGATGTTGAGCATTATTTATTGGTAAGAAAATAATAAAAGAATATTTCGCGTAATTCTGGTGTTTTCGTTTGTAGTTTCATGTCATGGCTGCAGGAAAAAATGGTGCAGATGACGGAGAATTAGAAGCACGATTAAGTCGAACTGCACGAGCTCTTTGGGAACATATTCATGATCAAGTTCCGTTGTCCGATGGAAAACGAGACCGATTATCTTTAGATCAATTTCTTGATACATGGGCTAGTCTCATTGATCATATTGTGAAACATGGTGCATTGCCAGGTCTAGTTCAAAATTTAGTTAATCTTGGATTCGAGTTATATTCAACAACAGCTGGTCACGATAAGTCACCTACAATTCCTGCATCAGCTTTTGAGCAGCTCTTTGAAAAAATGAATCTCGGTCGTTCCTATGCTCTGATGTCATATAGATTTCTTACTGAAGTATGAATTAGTAATTGTTACCATTTCACACTTTACTTGTCATTGCATATTGCCTATCTAGAATGGTGTCAAATCACTGAATGCTGATAAAATCAATTCAATCGTACGAGCAGTGATCACATCCTCAGATGATGGACATGACTCACATTTTCTCCTGCCAGGATTCTTCAAAACAATATGGAATAAGAGCAAAGAAAGAGACGGCTTAATCCAGTCACCACAACCAGGCCAAGGTAAAACATGCGAACACTATTTCTAGTTTAAAGAATATATTCGAGAAACATACATAAGTTAACCCAAATAGAACTGTTATACAATATGTACACTTCGAATATGCAAGGAATAGAGTACGCAGAAAAAAAGTGATTACAAAACAGTAATTTCAGAAGATAATAACTTTCCTATAGAATACTCTTCTGAAGATAAGAAATACTCTTCCCCATAGGATGTCATTTATAAAATTTTAATCTCCCACTTACGTCATAAATATATGAATGATTCGATGTGAAAAAAATATTTTAATAGATAAAGTTGTATATACAGTGAATATTTCGGACTTATTTGTCTTTCGATCGCCATCAAATAGGTATCACTGGCAAACAGACACCATCAGCTACCTCTCCATCGTTTCCACCTCAACAACAAATACAACCACAACAACCTACTGGGCTACAACAACCAGTTCGACCACAAGAACCATATGTGCACCAACACCAAGGTTGGGTACAACAACCAAGCGAACCACAACATCTAATGCAACCGCGTCAATCACAAAACGCTGTAGCTCGCACAATGGACAATGATATTCGTCGTATTTTACAATATTATCATATAGACGACACTGATATCGTTGAAGTGGATGATGGACCAGTCCATCGTCTACTTCTTGTTCATCCCGAACGACCTTTACCTGCGTATATTCAACACGATGGAAACTTACTTCGACAATTACAAATAAATGAACAAGTTATGCCAGAAGAAAACAATACTGACGTCAAAACGGACGAACAGAAGATCGAAGCCAAACCGGAGGAAAAGAAGATCGAACTTAAACCAGAAGAAAAGAAAATCGAAGGCAAACCAGAAGACAAGAAGATCGAAGCTAAATCAGAAGTGAAGAAGATCGAAGTTAAACCGGAAGAAAAGAAAGTCGAAGGCAAACCAGAAGAAAAGAAAGTCGAAGTTAAACCAGAAGAAAAGAAGATCGAAGGCAAACCAGAAGAAAAGAAGATCGAAGGCAAACCAGAAGAAAAGAAGATCGAAGTTAAACCAGAAGAAAATAAGGTGGAAGTCAAACCGGACGAAAAGAAAGTCGAAGGCAAACCAGAAGAAAAGAAGATCGAAGTCAAACCGGAGAAAAAGAAGATCGAAGTTAAACCGGAAGAAAAGAAAGTCGAAGGCAAACCAGAAGAAAAGAAGGTCGAAGCTGAACTACAAGAAAAGAAGATCGAAGTCAAACCAGAAGAAAAGAAAACTGAAATGAAACCAGACGAACAGAAGACCGACGTTAAAACAGAAGAAGAGAAGGTCGAAAGTAAACCAGAAGAGAAGAAGGTCGAAGTCAAACTAGAAGAAAAGAAGATTGAAGTCAAACTGGAGGAACAGAAGGTTGAAGTCCAACCAGAAGAAAAGAAGATCGAAGTCAAACTAGATGAACAGAAGATCCAAGCTAAACCAGAAGAGAAGAAGGTCGAAGTCAAACCGGACGAACAGAAGACCGACGTTAAAACAGAAGAAGAGAAGGTCGAAAGTAAACCAGAGGAGAAGAAGGTCGAAGTCAAACTAGATGAACAGAAGATCGAAGCTAAACCAGAAGAGAAGAAGGGTGAAGTCAAACCGGATGAACAGAAGATCGAAGCTAAACCAGAGACTAAGATTGAAGTCAAACCGGACGAACAGAAGATCGAAGTTCAAGCAGAAGAAAAGAAGATTGAAGTCAAACCGGAGGAACAGAACGTTGAAGTCCAACCCGAAGAAAAGAAGATCGAAGTCAAACTAGATGAACAAAAGATCGAAGCTAAACCAGAGACTAAGATTGAAATCAAACCGGACGAACAGAAGGTTGAAGTCCAACCAGAAGAAAAGAAGATCGAAGTCAAACTAGATGAACAGAAGATCCAAGCTAAACCAGAGACTAAGATTGAAGTCAAACCGGACGAACAGAAGACCGACGTTAAAACAGAAGAAGAGAAGGTCGAAAGTAAACCAGAAGAGAAGAAGGTCGACGTCAAACCGGATGAACAGAAGATCGAAACTAAACCAGAGAAGGAGATCGACGTCAAACCGGATGAAAAGAAGGTCGAAGCTAAAGAAGAAGAAAAGAAGACCGAAGTTGATCTAGAACAGAAGAAGGTAGAAGTCGAACAGGAAAACAAGATCGAAGTTGAAACAGAAGAAAAAAAGACAGAAATGAAACTACAGGAAGAGAAGGTCAACCTCAAACCAGAAGAAATGAAGATTGAAGTGAAACCAGAGGAAAACAAGATCGAAGTTGAAACAGAAGAAAAAAAGACAGAAATGAAACCACAGGAAGAGAAGGTCAACCTCAAACCAGAAGAAATGAAGATTGAAGTGAAACCAGAGGAAAACAATGTCGACGTCAAATCGGAAGAACAGAAGACCTCAACTATAACAGAAGAAAAGCTGGTCGACGTAAAGCCGGAAGAAACGAAAACCGGAGTTAAAACAGAAGAGAAGAAGGTCGAAATTAAATCGGAGGAAACGAGGACTGAAGTAAAAACAGAAGAAAAGAAGGCCGACGTCGAAATGGAAGAAAATAAGATCGACATAAAGCCAGGAGAAAAAACGACCGAAGTTAAACCAGAAGAAACGAAGGCCAGAGTTATAACAGAAGAAAAGAAGGCCGAAATAAAACCGGAGGAAACGAAGACTGAACTAAAACCAGAAGAAAAGAAGGTCGAAGTCCAACCGGAGAAAACACAGGCTGACATAAAACCAGAAGAAAAGAAGACCGAAGAAAAACTGGAGGCAACGAAGACTGAAGAAAAGCCAGAAGAAAAGAAGATCGAAGGAAAAGTGGAGGAAACGAAGACTGAAGTAAAACCAAAAGAAAAGAAGGCAGAAGTCAAACCAGAGGAACATAAGAGCGAAGTAAAAACGCAGGAGAAGAAGGTCGAGGTTAATCGAGACGACAAGGAGACCGAAGTTAAACCAGAAGAAAAGAAAGTTGGAGTGGAACCTGATGAAAAGAAGAATGAAGTTAAATCAGAAGAGGAAAAGATCGAAGGTAATGGAAAAGAAGAACCGCAATCACTACTAACTGAAGAAGAAGAAGCAAAAATTGTAGAAGTTGTCATACAGCAGTTGTTACCAATTGTCGAACAAATGGTTTCAGTGGAGGTTGAGCGAGTCTTGAGTGGTCAAGATATTGAAGATGATGGGAGTGGTTTGATACCGTTTCCATTTATGTTTTCTGGTAGTGCACCGATGTTTGTTTCATCAGATGAAGGTCCTGCACTAGTTTTCCCGCAACAACAAGAATCAAGACATAGATTCATGGTAAGAAAGCATTTAATACGACTTTTTATTTTATTGGTTGCACTAGGAAAGTAACTTTGGTGGAGTCTCAACCGATGCTTCATTCGTTGGACCCGAATCATTTATCACAATGATGCGTAATTTTACAGGAGGAAGTGCTGAACATGACAGACCTAGGCTTTCGTCGACTGTTCCACCTCCTCCTCAACGTCCTGCTGGTGCTTCTGGACGGGTTGAAGGTTAGTGAATTATCTTTTTATCAAGTGTTAAAGTCTTCTTTGTGTTTCAATCTGTAGGTTTTATGACGTTCGCTGACGACAACCAAATAATTGGTGGTCAACCTTATAATGAATTCAGACGTCCTCCATCTTACCATTAACCTTTTTAAATAAGAAATTCATGTTTTTTATCGTCATTTTTTTTTGCTTCAAACAATTTATTGTAGTGTTCACTTGACATTCTTTCTTAGATTTTGATTTATTATAGTGTAAAAAACGAACATACATTTCGAACAAATCTGAATCTTATCAGTCATCTTCACACGGTATTAAGACTTTCTGTCATTCTTCAGAATTTATATCAGAAAAAAATTGTAAACAACGATCATCACACTTCTTCATAATGATAATAGTATTCTCTTTATCCTATCTACAATCATTTGAGTTTCCGTATCGTATTCTTGACAAATCCTATAAGGGTCTTGCCAGGATTCGCTCTTTTTTCTAGAAAACGACTAAATCCTGGAAAAAGCGTGTGGCAATAGTTTCAGGATTTGGGAAGGATTCAATACGAAATTCTCAAGATTCTTGATAAGTTTTAGATTGATTTTCAATCAAGATTTAGCGGGGCAATGACTTCATCGTTAAAAAGGAAGTCTGTAGACGCGAAATGTTAAAAATGTTGACAGGATTTAGAACAAAATATTGTCAGGATCCTGACCAACTTACCATGCTTGTCAAACCAAAATCCTGCCAGGATTTTCAACACATTTCTTGGAGGATGTTATCAAGTTTTTTCACAGGATGCTAGCAGAATTTTTGCAAAGAGAACAGAAAAGAAATGAATACATAGAGTATTGATCTTTCGATATTTAGTTTACAAACTAATCAGCTTACTTGCATATATTGTGCCGTGTAATTAGATACAACTGCAAACTTCCAAGTCTCAAATTTTGACTGAATTCTTAACTTATAATTGAATTTTATCGAAATACAAATTACTTTTAAAAAGGTTTTAAAATGCAATGCCATTTTATATATCATTTTTAGTTTACAAAATCCGGCTAATTGTGATGTAATTTATTTCGATTTAAAAATATATCTTGTAACTTTTCCTACACATAACTGAAACTTTGAACAAGTTTTACCAAAGGATTTTCGTCTTACTTCAAAAGAGGTATTGAATGAAAAACAAATTAGTGTAATAACTAAACTAAAGTTAATACCTTGATTTAGTAAATTTTCAAATTCTCTTTCAGGATATAATGATATAAATAATTGGTGTTTCTGATTTAAATGTCAAGTTCACATAAATCTAAGTCTTTGAAAAATCTAAAAAAACAATCTTCTAAGATTTCGTTCAAAGCTCTTCGCTTGTTTACACAAAGATTCTGCCAATATCAGGATAAAGTTCTAGTAAGTTTGCCAATTCTGTCCGGTTCGAAACAAAAAATAGACATTTGAACAATCCTTTCATTTAATACTGTTGAAATTATTTTCAATATTGGTTTTAAAACTCGAATTATAATCTAAAGATTTACAAATCTTTAACAGATCCTCAACATCAAAAATCAGCTAAAATCGTAATGACATCGATATACAGATGTTTCTTAGGGCCCTGAAAGAAATCAGTTATACATTATGGTAGAATGCTGAAAATGAAATTGTAAATACACTTCAACCACAAACCTGCATCAAGCTAATCAAAATGCTTGCATCATGCATCAAGATTCTGGTGATGGATTGTATTGTTTTGTGAGGATACAAAAATGCTTGTTACTGTATAGTTTGAAGCAGAAAATCCTGATGAAAACTTGGCAAGAATTATTCATTTACGATTACAACTAATCTTGCTTCATTTCTATTATGATTCTCATCTCATTTAACTACAAATCTTCACCGAATTCGCCTATCAAGATTCAGCAAAGATATTCTGATAAGATGTTGAGTTGTTAGTTTAGAAAAAAAATTGATCAAGAACTTGAACACATCCTGAACGGGATCCTATTCAATCGTGAGATATTCTGCAAACAGAAATGATCAGGATTTGAGACTAGATCCTGAATAGAACTTGGTAGAATCCTTTTAGAGTCAGAATTCTTACAGATCGTTTCAGAATTTCTCAAGGAATAAACTGAATTAAGACTAGAGTAATAAATTAATCTTTCAAATATTACCTACTAATAAAAGATTCTGAGTTGTTCTCACCACACGGGACATTGATATATGTGTAAATCAAACATTTATAATGATTTATTATATATATGCAACCTAAATGAATATAATCAGTTGAAGATACCCATGAGGCTATTTTGCTACTAGTATATGTTACAGGAACATTTGAATACTTTATGAATTTTTCGCATTTTACTACCAAATTCACTTTTCTCTTGCCTCAACAAGATAAATATAGAAACTAGTCTATAGTTATTGTATAAAAAAATGAATATTTTCAGAAAATTAACATCTCAGAAAGACTATGACTAATAATTGAGAAATTTCTCTCTAAACTAATTTAATTGAAGTCTTTATGTGCGCAACGTTCCAAGTCGAAATTTGAAAACATGATTTCACTAAACAACTAGAGCTTCTTTATAGAAAATATTCACTAAAAACTCGCAATCACGATCAACTCTCAATATTGACCCAAATCATTCTAGGATTATTCTAGTCAATAAATCTTATCTATATGTTCACAATATTGATTTAAAAGAAGTGAATTACTTCAAACAATTTCCTCGTTAGTATATTTACTAGAGAATAGAAACACTAGTCAAATAACAAGTGAAATTTTGATAATAGTTCTACAAAGATTTGTTGATTACAAGTTTATTCAACAAATCAATCTATATGATACTTCATTAGTATCAACTAATTATATTATTTTCTTTCTGTCTTGATTTCTACTGACTTAATTGTAGAAGTTAAATAATTACTATTGGTAAAATTGATATCTGATAAAAATATTTTGTTGATGATATGAATTTTTCTAAAACTTTTATATGAACAATTAAATTATATCAATAACACTTTCAATTATTTTTTTCAAACAGCAAAAGAATATTTTTCTAACAAAAAAGAATGAAGAAATTGAAAAGAATATTAATTACTAACTACTTATTGATTCATCGTGTTTCTTTGCAACAAATAGAAAAGTCACTTTTTTTGCATTGAAATAACTATTGAAAAAACAATAAGCAAATAAAGTAATCAAAAATAATTTGATTTAGTTTTTAACTATGTGTTTTTAATGTGATCATTGATTTATTTTTCTTTCAATTTATATTTTTGACATTGATCTAAATTGATCTATTAAATATCAAAAATGAATTTTCATTATGAAATTATTTTTTTTATAGCTACAAATCAAGTAATTTAGAAAACAGACATATTTATTCGTATGAAAATAAAGAGAATATTTATTTCAGGTCTAATAGGTTATATATGACACTCGATCAGATAAACTTACCCTAATGGACACTTTTTTTTTGCCGTCTATCAAAATAGATGACAAGCATATGTATCTTGTCAAAATTAATATTCATTGATGATAGATGGTATATGATTCATAATTAGGAATCTAATTATCTAAATATAGAATCTGTTTTCATCAGTATCAAGTCTAAGTCGGACATAATGGTTTCTATGTGTCATTAAAAATATTTTCTAAACAAACTATTTAAATTGTTCAACCTTTTCTTTATCAGGATTTTGAGATGCAGAAATGAATTTAGTATAAAGTTAGTAGAGTGATTATTTGCTTTTAGACAATCATCATCACATGATTATGACAGGAAACTTTGTTTTTTTTTGTAATTTATTAACGTTAAACGAACTTGATCAATAATTTCTAGTGATTAATTGAAATGATTATTTAAAGTACTTTTAAAATGATTGTAAATAATGGACAGCGTGCCCCAAAAATCATGAGCACGTAATAAACATAAATAAATCTACTATTACTGATTAATCTTAAGCAAAATCTTTCTATTTCAAATAAGAGGCTACTAAGTTTTAATTTTTAAAGATCAAGTTCGACACTGCCAACAATATGCACCGGTTTTGTTTTCAAGATCTACTCGAATTTCTATAGTTATTATGGACTTCCGAACATTTAAATCTTTTACGATAACTCACAAAATACTTGTTTCGATATATTATTACGAAAAAAAAAACAAGAGTCAAGTGTAATGTCAATATAATTTATAAAACGATCTAAGATATTCATTTTCAAGGTTATTAGAATTTGTGAAGAGCCACGAATGACTTGCTGCAAATAAATACATCAATGACTCAACGATCGTTTTAAAATAATGCAAATAAATGATTAAAAAGTGATAATTAAAGATCTTCATGATCTGAAATCTATAATAACGATAGAAATTTAAGTAAATATCGAAAAAGACCAGTCCATATTATTGGTCGCATCGGAAAAATCTAATTTTTAAATTGTAGCCGAAAGTGTTACATTTTTTCTGTATTGTTGATGAATTTGATCTTTACGAGTTAAAACTTACTGATTTCCTATCTCAATAGAAAAAAAAGGATTTTGACTAAGCTTGATCTTTAGCGGAGTTATTCATGTTTACTAAGAATTTATGACTTTTGGAACACCCAGTATATTGACAAACATTGAAAGGTATGAACAATAATTCTATGTCATTCATATTGATATTTGACATATTGTTCATTAGATATATGTTTATATATAATATTTCATCAATAGAAAAATAATAACACTGATGAATAAGAAAAATTAATTTCAATATTACTACCCACGAGTGACACAGAGTAAATGGCATAATATCATTTTCTTTTTTGAATCATTCCGGTACACTTTTACAAAGTCATTCGATAGAGAATTCTTCGCGCCACAGAACTGTTTTGTTTATTTTTCGAATAAATTTTACTTCTCAGAGAAAAATTTGAATTATGAACGTTTGTCACATTGTCTAACTATCGTTATCGATTGCCTGCAGATATCTAACGGATATGCTGAAAGTTTTGAGTTAAAATACTTGTTTAC